CTTTATTTATCGAAATCTATTTTTTAAAACAATAAAACCAAAAAATTAAATTTTATTGTTTTAAAAAATAGATTTCGATAAATAAAGAATAATTTTCCATTACACTATGGTTCAAAAATGAATATTTAAAAAGTTATGGTTAAAAAACTGATTTGTCCCATTGAATTCAATGCATTGTTTGTCCTCCGCAAGAAGACTAGAAACAGGAGCACTGTGGGGGCACTTCCACTAAATAAAGGGAGACTATAACTATAGTTCTAGGTAAAAGGTGCAGATGTCGCTGTCATAGAAGCTGAACAAATTTGCGGTTAAGCGCATGCGTTTACTTTGAATTTTAAAACATGATTTTTTATTCTCATGAATTAATAATAATTGATTCTGCTTCTTTTACCTTTATAAAGTATAACAATGTTTTTGTGTCTAAATAATCTTTTTATTTTTGCTTAATTCGAAAAAACAGTAAATTGCACAGTCATTTAAATTGTGTTAATATACAAATGAATAATGTAAGTTACCCATATTAAATTGATACAGTTTTTTAAACATAGTGGTGTCTGGATAACAAATGTATATTACATATAAACAAAATATATAAAAAAGTCAACATTAATGTACAATAATAGGTTTAAAATTATTTTAAAGATCAAAAATTGAATAATTTTACTTTTTTAATACCCACAAAGGCAATGTATTTTTATAGAAATTGTTGTAAATATGTAGCTTTTAATAAAAAGCTTGTATTTTATAAAAATTAATAAGTTGTGAAAAATATCACAGCCAAATCTTTAAATTTTTCTTAAATTAAATATGTAGCTTTTAATTAAAAAAGCTTGTACTTTATAAAAAACAATAAGTTATTAAAAATATCACAGGTAAATCTTTGGTATCGTTAATTAAATATGTAGCTTTTAATAAAAAGCTTGTATTTTATAATAAATTAAATATGTAGCTTTTAATTAAAAAAGCTTGTACTTTATAAAAATATCACAGGCAAATCTTTGGTATCGTTAATATTTGCTATTAAACCTGATAGCCCCTTCTGAAAAGTTAAAAATTTATCATTATTATACCATCAGTAACATCTCACTGATTCAAATTTAGAGCCCTGGCGGATCAGATGGACCAAAAGTGGACTTAACTTTTTTCATTATTTTGTGAGAAAAATAGAAATATTTGTTTTAAGACTTATTAATTATATATCATTAAATTCGTTTTTTACAATTAATCATAAACAACTATTTCTATATTTTAGAATGTTAAATTAATATTAATAATATTAATATTGATTGAATTTTAAAAACTTTCAAATTAAAGTTTTTAAAAAATTTGATTTGTAAAAAAATATTAATAAAAAATTCTGAATAAGTTATTTTTTTCAAAAATTTTTGTTTACATTTTTTTCAAATTAGTTATATTTCTAAATATATAATATTTTATTAAAAAACTTTCAAATTATTAAAAATTTAATTAAATTGTATTGTGAACAAATACAATAATTTATGACCTGAAATGGACCGGGAAATGACCGTGAATTTTTCTATGAAAAAAGTGGCTACCCTGAAAAAGAACTTATGAAATTAACAGAATTTTATGAAAAAACTGTTGGGATAGAAAAATGAATATTTTATTCAATGAAATATTGAAAATGGTGAAAATATGATAATAATTATTTAATAAATAATTATTGATAATGTTTTTCAATATTGCACAAATTGCTTGTTGAAATGTTTATTTATCCATCCCAAAAGTTTTTTCATGAAATTCAGTCAATTTTATAAGTTCTTTTTACAGGAATCGAAAATATACACAGTTAAGTCAACTTTTAGTCGATCAAATTCGCAAAGGAGTGTAAATAATATACACTTACTGCTTATTTGTACCGGCAATTCTCGACGAATATTTTAAATATTCTTCACGGGCATGGGTCTCTATGATGCTCCCACCGTGATAAATAATGTCTCCTCTTAAAATTTTGTTGAAGTGAACGCACCACTTATTAATGCAGTTAATAATGAGCATTTCTAAAAACTTTTGTCGAATACATTCCTTGTGGCGTGAACATGTTATCCACTCAAAATCCATTTTTAATAATAGAAATTGCAATAAAATGCTGCACAAATTTCTTCGGAAACAATTTTGAGGCAATTTGCGAAAAATAAATGTCGTGGCTCTAAGATATCCTCTTTCGAAGAAATCCATCGCACGTTCATTTATAGTTTTCACAAAATTGTTGTCCTCAGTCCCAAGAAATATTGTGTAGCATTCTTTACAAGTCGGACAGTACTAGTAGTCGGACACTTTCGTGTTTTTTCGCAAATAAATAATAATGCATTGTGATAATTACTTTAAAAAGTATACTAGACGAATGTGTGAAGTTTATATTTTATTAAAATAGTGTTATTTTCGAAAATAATTAAACAAGAAATATTTTATTTAATGCTTTAAAAATCATGGTGTCCGACTATAGATACAACCATTTTCGAGTAGCGCGATGAGTGGCACAAAGTTTTGTTGATAATTAATCATAAATTTTAAAACTTATACGATTTAAATATTATATTAATAACTTCTAATATGGTTTAATTCCATTTTCCAGCCGATAGCAATTAAAAAATTATCTGTTTTACTTTATAAATCCAAAATATCTGACAGATGTCCGACTATAGAAACAAAGGGAAAAAGTGTCCGACTACTAAAGCATTCGTAATTTTTCATTAAAATGTTTATATTTTATTAAATACTCAAGTATTTGTAACAAATTTACACGATTTTTAATCCTGAAGAACTCATTTAATTGATAATGTGCTTATAAACACAGTAGATATTTGCTATTTCAAGAAAAAAAGCATAATTTAAGATTGTATCCTTAAGTGTCCGACTACTAGTGCATTTACCCTATACAAAATAGTAATAATTATTATACATTGTATATAATAAATTATATATATATATATATATATTATTAAAATTCAATTCTACAAATAGTTATATTATAATCCTGAAAATAAAAAATCATGTTTTAAAATTCAAAGTAAACGCATGCGCTTAACCGCAAATTTGTTTAGCTTCTATGACAGCGACATCTGCACCTTTTACCTAGAACTATAGTTATAGTCTCCCTCTCATATAATTGTACACTGTAAAAAAATCTGGTGTAAAATAACACGAAACTTGTAATTTCACACATCAAAATTATAGGTTGTACGTAGTAAATTTATTTCGTTCCAAAAGTAGTTTTACTATTTTTAATAATTTTACATTATACGACTATGTAATTTAATAGTTTTGTGTAAATTTACTACGTCCGACGTAGGAAAATTTGATCACTATGTCCGACGTGGTATTTTTACATTGCGTGTATTTCTACACTTTGACGTAATATTACGTCGCACGATCTGTACAATTACATGGCGAATGTAATTTTCTTATTCCTTTAAGATTTTCAAAAAATTTTCAAGTTTTTATAAATAACTCTAAAAAAGTGTATATAATGTACATTTATAGAAAGTATATGCTAATTTATAAGTAAATAATAATATAACAGAAAGTTTTGGGCTATATTTCATAAATACAAAAAGTTACGACTGAAAATATTATTTCAAAAAATATTTGCAGGTTATGTAGATTACAGTCGGCGTGTAAAAATACCACGTCGGACATAGTGACCAAACTTTCCAACGTCGGACATAGTAAATTTACAGCAGATTTTTTTACAGTGTACATCCTCCACTGTGAACAGGAGGTCCAACTCCGGTAGTGGGGGTACGTGATAATTTGGTTTCCGGCAATAGGCCGAGAAACTGAATACCCTAAGAGGCGCGGTAGCCTTCTGCGCATACCCAACACATGCTTACAGTCTTGTATATGTAAGTTTCCATGTTCTTGTCGTGTGTCAAGTCGTGTGTTTTTGTTGACATCGGTTTTGACATTTTAAATTAAATTGTGTTATGTGTTGTGATTAGTATTGTTAAATTTCCGAAATGTGATTACATTATTATAATACAGTTTTTTAAACAATGAGTGGAAAGTGTGCAATTAAAAGTTGCAAAGAAGACAAGGAAAACAGAAATTGTCATATTTTTAGGTTACCGGACTATGAGGTAGTACATGAATAGCATTCATATAACTTTTTTATTTTTCTTGCTTAAATAATAACTAGATTACTGAATATACATATGAGAAATTAAATATTAAAATATTAAATATTAAATATTAAAAAGAAAATTAAAGTGATATGTATTTTCAAAATATAAAACATGTGCATTTTATAAACAATATATTTATCGTTTTGTTACATTAAATAGATTCGCATGGGTAGTGCAAAATCTACTATATTTATATCAAACAAAAAATATATATTTATTGTTTTGTTTATAAAATTTAAATATTGTAAGGTCATAAAAATAAATTACTTTTATTCAGTTGATTTGTAAAACTTTATTTCTATACAAATTAAACAATACATACACATAAATAAGCCATGATTCGATTAAATAATTGTAGCTTATAGAATTCATACAGAAATTGTTCAAATTTCAACTTCTCATACACAATTTCATTTATAATCAAAAGTATGACTATTATAAATTTTCAATTTAATAAAACAGTTGAGTATAAAGAATTAATTAATTTAGCCCTCTCTTTAACATTTGTCAATGTGAAGCGATTTTTACATGATAATTTGGTAAAATAATGTATCGACTACTAATATTAAACACTTTGATTTTATTCAAAAGAAGGGACAAATCGCCTTGTATTGACAATTATTTATGAGGATGGTCATTTTTAAATATAATCAAAATATTATGCAAATAGATGTAAATAAACCCTAATTCCATTAAATAATTGTAGAAAAAGTAAAAAGTTCCTGACTATTATAAGTCAAATTTTACAGAAATAAATCATTCAATATAAAAAAATAATTGATCAATGTATATAAATAAATAAAACTTTTGAATTTAAAGTATAAAAAATAAATATATACAATTACAACACTTTCAAATGTACAAATTAAATTTTAACCAGGGACCGATACTGAAAGGAAAATTAAATTTAAAAATATTTATTATTTAATTTAATTTAAAAAAATTAAATTAAAATATTCATATTTTTAATGCAGTTTCGGATCAACGCGAAAGTGAATTAACAAAATGAATTTAGATTCGTGTCGATTTAAAATTTATTTTGTTAATTTACTTTTGTATTTAATCTGATACTAAGACAAAACTAGACTTTCATGATGGTCCTTGATTTTAACAAAATTATAGTGCTCCTAACTTTTAGAAAACTTTTTGTAAAAATTTCATAATTCTACCTAATGTACAGTATGACATTTCAATTCCAATATCTTTCATTTCGCCGAGTAAGAGTAAATTTTTATATTTTGTAATAAAATTCGCTAAAAAGTTTAAAAATATTACGAGGTAATTCAACATTTACTAATATTCATACCAGAGCAGAGAAAAATTTAAATTAAACGTTTGCATCATGAAAATCCCCACACTACCTATATTATAACAATATTTTATGTAATTTTATATTTACTCAGCATCTAAGCAAAACATTAAATTAGAAGTAAAACTATTATTTATTATTTCTAAAATATTTTCAATGACAATTTGCGTTTGAGGTTTATCAAATGTCATCCAATTAACTAATTTTCTATTATAAATTATTTTAATATTCAAGTTTGTTTCTAAAATTACTGATAAATAATTATTTAAATCGTTTTCAATTCTCAGGAATTGTATATTTTTACCTTTTTCTATTGCGTACATCCATTTTTTATTTGGCAGTTTAAAACTATCCATTTTTTGTTCCAGAAGACTGTAGAGAGGTTCTGAATATTTTTCCATACTTCGATTAATTGTTGATAGATTTTCTTCAGTTTTTCCTTTTTTTTTACTAATTCCTGGTCAGCGGAATGATAAACTTTTCTCGTTTGCAATTTTTTGGAATTTTATAAATGCACATTTTCCATTTTCATAAACTTTTCCCTTACATTTAAAGGTTATGTTCATTCTGCTTCCTCCATTCCTCTTCTCATTTTCTACATACAACACAGGCAACATTTGATTAAATATATTTAAAGAATTATTTTACGTTTAAACTATTATACTTTTAAAGTATCTTAAATATTACATACCTTGTGTATAGGAATTGCAACAAAAAATTTATAATATATAAAACCACTCTGTTTTGGAGCTTGTCATTGTTCGACGTTCTAATACTAATGCGAAGCAGACACACATGGAATTATAGAAACTTGTAATAGTGTTGGGTGCGCAGAAGGCTACCGCGCCTCTTAGGGTATTCAGTTTCTCGGCCTATTGCCGAAAACCACAATCATACGTATTTGTCCTGTACCCCCCACTACCGAAGTTGAATCTCCTGTTTCTAGTCTTCTTGGCAGGGATGGGTACGTATTATACATGATGTATTATACCTGGTTTTCTACACGTATAATACGTGGTATTATACATCTTTAGTTTTCTACGTATGTCATGTATTTTACATACATTGCGTGACGCGCGGGATTTTTAAATTTTAGACAAGAAACATGTGATTTTAATAGTATATTAAATAAATTTTAAACATAATTTCAATTTAAAAATTTATTAATTAACATTGAAAAGTTTTTTTAAAATTTATGTTTTAAAGAAATAGCACACAAACAAAGTTCTAACTGTTCGTGGTCAGGTCAGGTTGTCTGCTGCCGCCAGACCCATTTATAGGTTATACATCTCCATGTGCCAGGCCATGTGTCAGTGATTGTTGTACAATATTGCTTTTTTTAAAATAAAAAAAAATTAACAAAAGAGGTGGAAGGCCGAAACACAATTCCTGGGAGGAATTGTGTTTTATTCCCAAAAATAATAAAGGGAAAAATGTTGCCCTGTGTCCTATTTGCAACAAAACATTGCAAAATACAGCTATAATAATAATTTAGTACTTTTGTATGAAAAAGTTTATTTGAAACCCGTTTATTTTCAAATAAATAATAAATTAACGTGTCTTTTTAAAATTGTTCTATATAAATATATAATACAAGTTATGAAAAAATGTGTGTAAAAAACCATATGAAAAATCAATAAATATATATTATACGCATTTTTTTGTAAACTTACCTTATATGTAACCTTTTTTGGTTTTTTCTTGGTATTTTTAGCAACAATTTAGTAATGAAAACCAGGAAACAAATAAAAAATAATCAAACATATGATTTTTATTATTATTGTGAGGTTTGTACGCATGCGCAGAACTGGACATGTATAATACCAGGTTTTCTACAATTTTCTACGTATTATACGTCATTTATGTATTATACGTAGAAAACTCCGAAAAAAACACTTTTACCCATCCCTGCTTCTTGGTCCTCCGGTAAATCAGCTGATGGCAGCCATATTGGATTTCCCCCACCCAACTTGAACTACCTTGTTCGAGAGAGTGAGAAAAAGGCGCGAATATTTAAAAGAGGGATAGGTAAGAATGGAAAGGTTATGACGTGCGAAGACTGTATGGATTAATGGAGCTAGTGCACGGAGAGAAAAATCAAGCGTTTGTAGTATGGACAGTTAAGCTTATTTCGTAAAAGAATGCACATGCGCAATATGCGTAAAACTTCTGCTGTATTTGTATAAATTTCTACGTTATCAGCATAAAAGTTCTACCTGTAACGCATGGGACGTCAGTATACTACGATTGCAAGAGATCCATGCTTTTTTAGTATATGTTTCATGCAACTGAGGTATAAAAACATGCCTCTTCAGCAGGACGTTCATACAAAATTAGCATAGGAAGTCTCCATACTACAAACGCTTGATTTTTCTCTCCGTGTGGAAATATTGAAGGAAGGAATGGAAGAGCGTTTTGTGAGAGTGAAAAAGAATTTTGTAACGATTTGCGAAGAAGGTGATGAGAAGGGTAAAGAGTTGGATGAAATATATGAGGAAATGGAAAGGATGCAGGAAAAATGGAAAAGGTGGGCAAGTGAGATGGAAGGTATGAGAGAAAGAGTGGATGAATTGGAAAAATTTATAGTAGAGAAGAAGGAAGAGGATAGAAAAATAGAGGTTATTTTAAAAAAGGGGGTAAAAATGAGTAGTGAGGGGAGTGAAAGTGTTCATTATGAACGAAAGGTGAATGATTTGGAAAGAAGAGTGGAATGGATGGAAAAGGATAAAAGAAAAAGCAATATAGTGATTAGGGGTATGAATGCAGGATTAAGTGAAGGAAGAAAAGAGGTGGGGAGACTGGATGAAAGGATAGGGGTGAAAATTAATATTAGACAAATGAAAGTGATGAGTATGGATGCGAATGGGATGCCGAAGATATGGTTAGTAGAACTGGGAAGTGAGGAGGAGAAAGAGGAGGTGATGAGGTTGAAAGGATGTGTTGAGAGAATTGATGAGGACAGAACGTGGAAGGAGAGGAGAATAAGATGGTTGCTGGGGGAGAAGGCAAGGTTGGAAAGAATGAATGGAAATGAAGTAAGAATGGGTAGGGAATGTGTGTGGGTGGATAGGGTAAAATGGTGCGTGAAAGAAGGTAATGGACGAGTGTTTGAGGTTGGAATGAATGATCGGGTGAATAGAGAGAATTGAAGGATATTGTGATTGTAAGTTGGTTGGGATAAATGGAAAATCGTGAGACGGAATGGTTGGAGAATGAAGATTGTGGTTAAGGATTTAAGAAATTTAAAGGGGTGGGACGATAATGGGGAATCAGTCAGTATGGACAAAGGGAACTGGAAACGGAAGCCCTGGCACTGGCAAATTTTGAGAGGACCCAGGCGCGAAAGACCAGTGCTGACGATGGGTTGAAACTTGACTGAGTCTTGAACGCCCAGCGTGGGTAACCCAGAGTTGAAGCAGTCTTTATATCATTGTCACTCAATATTGGTTCAGCATGGGACACCAATGTTCGTCCCATGCTCGATTTAACACTCGGTCAATCTTCGTGAGTGGAGCTTCAACATCCAGTCTTTATTCAAGCTTGAATCAATCTTGATAGTTTATTTATTATACCGTGTGCACTTAACAATATTAGATATAAATATTTATAAATTATTTAATATTAAAATATTATTTCTGATAATTTTTAGTAATTTTTTATACTATTTAAAAATTATTATTATTAATTATTATTAAATAATATAATAAGTATTATTATTATTGTTATTAAGATATCAATTGGTAAATAAATATTAATATTTATTTAGTGTATAATATTTATATTAATTATATAAGACTCATATCAATAAAGTTAAATTATTATATATATTTTTTTTTCTTGCACAGTGTCAAATTATTATTTCAAAGTTCAAGAGTTTCGTTTATCTGAAAAATTTTCAGTGAAAAAAATGTTCATTAGGTAGTAATAAATATTTATGCCTAGTAGTTTTACACTAGGATTAACCGTTTACTGAATATTATCAAAAATATATTTTTCGTCAAACGCGCGCGACTAAACACAAATAACCTTGAGACGTTGCGATTGTCGTGCTCCCACCATCCCATCTACTCAATGCTTTCCCCTCATGACGTCACAGGCGGGGAGTGCATTGAGTAGATGGGATGGTAGGAGCACGACAATCGCAACGTCTCAAGGTTATTTGTGTTTAGTCGCGCGCGTTTGACGAAAAATATATTTTTGATAATATTCAGTAAACGGTTAATCCTAGTGTAAAACTACTAGGCATAAATATTTATTACTACCTAATGAACATTTTTTTCACTGAAAATTTTTCAGATAAATGAAACTTTTGAACTTTGAAATAATAATTTGACACTGTGCGAGAAAAAAATAATATATAATTTAACTTATAAAATTATCAGAAAAAATATTTTAATATTAAATAATTTATAAATATTTATATTTAATATTGTACAGTGCACACGGCAATAAAGGAACTGAATATTGTAACAAGATTACTGAGACTTGAAACGAGTATGGGACGAACATTGGTATCCCATGTTGAGTGACGGCACTGGCATTGATATAGTAGATTAGGCGAGAAGCCTTCCAGCCTTCTGTGGCCGAGCGGTTTAAATGCGTGCGTTGAGAACTTCCGGTATGCGTTAGGGGCAAAGTGCGTGAGTTTCGATCCCACATGCGAGCGAATATTTTTCATTCTTTGTTATAAGCGTTTATATAAAACAATAAAATTGTGTGTTGTGTTGTGAATAAAAAATGTGAACATGTTTATAAATAATGTTAAAAGTCTGTTAAAAATCAAGAAAAATATGTAACGATTAACAGAAAAATTGTCTTTTTTTACTAAAATTATTTTTTTAGTATTACTATTTCAAATGATATTTATTGTTAGTAAAATATTCTTATTTATATGAAAATAATATAATTATTACAAATAATAACTTATTGTCATTAAATGTATATATACACACATACATGAATTAAAATAATAACAATAATATTTATTATTATTATTAATAATTCATATATTCACATTATATTGAATAAACGTGAGAAACGAGTAAATTTGGGAACAGTGGAAGCAGTCTTGTTTCAGTCCTGCGTTAGGCGTCCGCAGCATTGATTGAGCATTGATGTCCAATGCTGAATCAAGGCTCGCGCTGCAGTCTGGAATCGGTGTTACATTAAAGCTTCGATCATTCCTGCTCCCGCTGATTCACTCATGCTCAATCAATGTTGACCAATGCTCGGCCAATCTTTATAAAGCCTGAACTCGGCGTCACTTCGCGCCTGGGGATGAGTGAGATGCGAATAGGTTTAAGTTGCGATTAGGTTAAGTTTTGTTGATGTGGGATATATATGAGAGGCGTTTTAGTTTAAGGAATTTTGTATTTAGAATAAGCTGACTTTGTATGTACTTGGGAGTCTCGAACCCTGCCTATTGCAGGGAGAGTAAATAAACATATATAACAAATAAATATTTTTGGCCTTTTTTATCCTGATAATAAATTGAATAACTGCAACGAATTTCATTATTCATGAAAGAATTTAAATATTTATAAAAATAATTTAATTCCAGCGAAGAATTTTATAAAAATTTTAAAATAATCGTTTTCTTTCGACTAATGTTATGCAAATTCTAATTTAAATAATTAAATTCCTGACAAATTTTTACTATTCATGAATATAATTGAATTTTGCAAAGAATGTTATTAAAATGCCTCAGAATTATTAAATTTTCGGGAATAATTTTGTTATTTATCGACATAATTGAATTCTTTGGAAGAATTTTATTAAAATCTAAAAGAATAATTTAATTATTTCAAAAGAATTTAATTAAAATTGTTTTTAAAATAATTGATGTCTTTCGAACAATTTTATTAAAATATTTGAAAATAATTGAATTCATGTGAAAAGTTCTAACATTTTTGTAAATAACTGAATTCTTCCGAATAATTTAAAAAAAACATTTTTTTAAATAATTGGTTCTTTCCAGAAATTTTATTGAAATTGAATTTTTAAGAATAATTACATCTTTTGCGCAATTCCTGTAAAATTGTATTAAAAATAATTAAAAGCCTACAATGAATTTTATTATTTATGAAAATAATTAAAATCCTACGATGAATTTTAGGTATTATTTATAAAAATAATTGAATAGGTAGTTGCAAAGAAGTTGATTAAAATTTCCAAAAATAATTGAATTCCTGAAAATTATTGACAAAAAATTTTATTCAAATGTTTTTAAAAGAATTTAATTGCTGTGAAAAATTTTGTTATTTTTGAAAATAATTGAATTCTTCATGATAATTGTATAAACATTGTTTTAAATAATTTAATTAATTGTTTCGAAATAAATAAAAATATTTGAATTTTAGATGAATTTTATAAATTTTTAAAAAAAATAATTGAATTCTTTTGCGAAATTTTATGAAAATACTAGTTATTGAAAATAATTTAACCGTTTTAAACAATTTGATTATAATTTTTGAAAATAGTCTAGTGTTAGCAAATTTAAAGTAGTGGAAATTCTAAGAAAAAACAGAAATAGTAGCTTTTAGTGGCTAAAATTTTAAAAAAGTACCCAAATAGTAGCATAAAGTAAAAAAGTAGTAAATAGTAGGTTTTAATAGATGAGTGCGAAGCCTGGATTCTACATTATTTAAACATTTTAAATGTAAGGTAAAAGTCCCAATTATGGGACGCTGTTTAAGCTAAACTCAATTTCTATGATAAATTTCTTGGAATCAGGAGTGTTAATATGAATAATTAGGGTATAGATTGAAAGATTGATATGTTGTGAATAATATTTAGACCCTAAAATGGTTATCTTTCATAAAATAAAATTAATATTAATTAAATTATGAAACTGTGCACTGCACTAATTATGGGACACGATGATTTCTGTATGTAAGGGTGTCCCAAAATGAATGTTCCTATTATGAGACATTTATTTAATTCAATAAGTAATTAGAATTCTATTGACTTATCTTAATAATTTGAATATTAATTATAAAGAATAAAATACAATAAACAAATTCTGGTTTAACAAATAATTATAAAACTAATTTTTCTGGTAGAAAATTAATGCGAAAAAACTGAAAATATTTGAGGTTATGTTTGCTGTATATTTCCTGTGTGTCTCACACGAAGTAGGATAAGGAGACCTCACGCGGTTTAACCCTGCTGGAAGTAAAGAGATACAAAGAGATTAAAAAAAGGGGATAAAAAAAGATTAAAAGGTATAATAGTTTGGAGATGCAAAATGGATACTTAAAAGAGATACAAATTGTTTATCTCTTTCTATAACCTTATATTTATATATCTTTTTATCCCTTCTAATCTCTTTATATACAGTTTCAGATATAGAAATATATAGAAAAAAATATATAAAAAGAGATAAGAAATTGGGGATGCAAAGTGGTGAATTAAAGAAGATAGAACTTTTCTATCTCTTTCTATTCACACATTGCTATCTTTCTCTATCCATTTTCACATCCTTTCTAATCCACAGGAAAGTAAAAACAGAGATATCCCTTATAGAAGAAATCGATTAATTTCAATTAAAAACTTTCTCTATTGTTGTTAATTGAGTTTCTTAATCGTGTTGTTCTAATTCATTACTATTAACTATAAAAAATTTGCAAGTAAATCTTTAATATATTTTTAGAAAAGTTTCGGTGCTGTGTGAGTTTAAAACTAATTTTGGTTGTCTATTACTGATAAGCATTTATTGGTTAAATATATTTACAATAAACTACAAAAATATGAAAGTTAAACTCAAACAAAAACGTAAAATCGCACAGTGCATAACACACGCTTTCTGATCTACGGATCTACTGACCCGACGCCATGACACATAACAGCTGGGAAAATCGACGCATGCGCGTATATCTTTATGAGTATGTATATAGAAAGGGATATACTATAGTAGATTAGAAGAGATAACTTATTATATCTCCTCAAATCCCCATATTCTTGTCTATCCCTATATATCTCTTCTAAATGAAGTAAGGAGATAGAATATGGGATTGGAAAAAGATAAAAAGAATACCATTCGGAAAAAAGAATGATAAAAAGGAATAGAAAAAGTTTAAAGTTTTGCAGTCTCGCATTTCTATCTTAATAATGGGAATAAATAAGTGTTAATAAGATCCTACATAAAAAGCGATGGAAGGGTATAAATATGATATCAATAGTTATTAAGAAAAGGTTATAAATGTGGACAAAGAAGATTATATCAAGAACTTCTGTCATAAAAAGATATAAAAGTTTATAGACAGGTTATTAAAAGGTATTGAGAATAGGTTATTAATAGGTATAAAGAATAGTGTCTATAAGGTCTAACATTGAAAGAGATACAAGGAAATAGACAGGATTTTAAAAGTAATAGAGAAAAGGTGATTGAAAGGGATAACAAAAAGTTGCAATAAGATTGTATATAAAAAGAGATAGAAGGGTTTAAAAAGGCTATTAAAAGTTATTCAAAAAAGGTGATTAAAAGAAATAGCGAACAAGTTGATAAAGGTAGGAATAGAAAGGCATAAAGAAGTATAGGTAAGAGATTAAAAGTTATACAATATTCATATCTCTTTCTATATTAGCAATAGAAAGGGATTAAAAGAGAAAAGGTTTCTATCTATTTACTTCCAGCAGGGAAAAGTCAGCCCACGATTAGGGGGATACAGATCTAATGTATTCTTGGCGAAAGTCTCCTTTCTAACATTTGCGCCTCTTTCGTGAAAATAGAGAACTATTTTCCTACTGTTTTAGTGTTTTAAGGTGTGTCAACCGCTTGACATAACCTCATAACCTAATTTGTACAACTTAATCTTTCAGAATTGTTCTGACAGTTGGCAGTGCCTAAAGTCATTTAAGAAGAATTAATTCTTAAGAAGAATCTTTTAGAATTTGGTGAAATCATTTTAATTATAGCTTCATTTGCTGTTAAAAATTACTTTTTAGTTTGAGGTTATGTCAAGCGGTCGACACTCCTGATTGCATGTTAGTATTTGTGTAAAAAATATTATTTTATAGTTTTGTAGTAAATAAAAATGAATTTCATAAATACATGCATATCAGATTGCGTTAAATAGAAATTAAATAAGATGTTTAATAATAATTGTTGTATTGCAGTCTGATTGCAATTAAACATAAATATTGTTTTATATAGTTTATATTTTCATCACGGAGCGCTGATGTAAGGGAGGAGACTTTTCATTTAAAGCCATAGGTATCTCTAACCCCCCCCCTACAAAGGGCATACTTTTAGCGCTACGAACTATGGGCGTGAGGTCTCCTTATCCTCCTTCATGGTGTCTCATAATAGCACTGAGAGAAATGAATGGTTAGAGCAACTACTTTTTTATTAGTAAAGGCAAAATTTATTCTCCCGTCTATTTAGTTAGTAAAATCTAGTAATTTTACCAGTAAGTTTTAATATTTTGCATATCAAACGTAACTATTTAGAATTAGTAAATGTGAAATAGTAAATGCATCCACAAAAATAGTTGGCTTTACCATTTTCGTTAGTAAACGAGAAAAAAAATGTCGGCTTGACATATGACGCATAACATAGTGTTGCCCTCTTAGTGCATTTGTTAAAGATTTATGTGGTTATTTGTTTCTAACTTTTTGTTATTTTTGTGATAAGAAGAATATCGAGTGTGTGGAAACTGTCAGAAGAGATATCGAGAGTCGAAGAATGTAAAGGACGTGTAATAAGTGCAACTTGTGAATATTTTGTATACTCGAGGAAAAAGTGCAGTGTTATTTTTGTAAGGATAATGATAATTACTTTTCTAATATTATTCGCACATTAAAAAATATGTTTATCATGTCTTTATAGTGTGCGAATAATATTAGATAAATAATTGTTGTTATATATTTATTTATTGTAAAATGAACTAAGCAAATGTACCTATTAGAACTTTTATTAGTGGTCCCTACCAACTAAAATAGTTGCCTTTACTAATAGAAAATGGTAAATCTTTTACTATTTAAAAATGCTATCTTCAACTATCCAATTAGCAGCAGTATAGTTTACTAACCAAAATGGTTTTCGTAAGCATTTTATTGGTTGCGATAACTACTCTGTTCTCTCAGTGAGGGATAGCAAATAATAAGTGTACCTAATGTGGGACGGTAGTCTGACGAAAAACCTGGCTTACCTTAATTTAAAATCTAAAATGCAAATAAACATTTCTTATTAAATTAAATGATATACACAAATAATTATTCTTATAACGTGTAAAATTTTTTGAAATAAGTAGAAATTTCTTATGACCAATTTTAATTGCATTTATTTTATTTTTTGTAATACTGTCTCATAATAGGGACAAAATTGTAAATTGTCCCATAATTGGGACCTTTACCTTATTTAATTTTTTTTTCTCACTCTAATTTTAGAAAACTTCAATAATTAATTTTAGAACTTAGATACGGAACAAATATGTTAATTAATAACAATATAAAGGCTTTATAGTAAGCTTCATTGAATTATTTTATATGCCACATATAAATTAAAATCTTATATTTAGTTAGAGAATTTTAAAAATATGGCCTAGAATAGTTTTGATTGTCAGGAAATTTTGAAAATTTGAAACCGTTCAATTATTCTATACATTAGAATTTTGCCCCTGTTCAAGGTGAAATTGTTCTTGGACCGATAAACCTAAGTAAACCAGAATTGTTAATAAATGTTGAATTGATACTGCCAATACCTCCTGCCTACTATGTAAAAAAACAACGACGAATTTGTAGCAACAAAGTATAGTGTTTAGAATTAAGAAAACAATCGACATTGTAAAATTTAAATTAAGTTGATATTGCATATTGTAAAAACATTTACACGTTTATAATTAAAATTTGGTCATTTTAAAATATTGGACAATTACATAATTAGGATAATTAAACATTACAACAAACATTTATTTAACTATAAAAATATTTTTTTATTTGAAGTTTTGAAAAATATTAATTATATTGAATAAAATATAATTCTACTTAATTGAAAATTGATCAAAAAATTATTTATTAAAAATATTTTTGATTAAATATTTATCTTTATAAAACTTTATTCATATTTACTTTAATTCTCATAATTGACTTTTAAAATCTCGAAGATTGTCAAAAGACATACCTTGTGCTTAATCTTCTTGATACATTAGTTGAAAGTATAAACACAAACATATGTGATTATTTTCCGGTAAAAAAGATCTTGCCCAACAAAAAATTATAGGTATGTTTACGAAAGTTTTTGCTTGATTTAATGTAAGATTAATTTTTAATTACAAATATGACTTACTTTAGGTGAGAATAAGAAAGAAAGAAAGAATCTCAAGATTATTATAGTTAATTCGAATTTAAATTTCAAATAAAAAGTTTAACAAAAATGATAAACTAATAAAATTTCTATTTATAATAACAATATAATTACATAAAAGAATAATTAAAAAATTTAAAGTTCGAATCAACTATAAAATCAACACCAAAAGGCTGGTTTTCAAAAAAATATATTTGAAAAATGACGTGTCAAATATACACAAGTATATGTGAAAAGATGTTACTGTTCGACTCAGATTGAAAAAAATGATTTAAAATAACTTATTCTTCTGGTACTTCGACCTCACCGTTTTTAATGTCATCAATGAAATCATGGGGTGGTCGTCCGTCAATAGTGCAACCGACTGATTGACACGTTCCCAAAATTTCTTTTACGGTCCCACACAGTTCTCGGGCCATTGATCGTGTCCTCATGGCTCTGGCAATGTTAATAACGTCATCAAAAGACAAATTTCCTCCATGCTTTTGAATTTTAACTTTCTTTCGGTCCCTTGGTGGTTCTTTCAGTGCCTTAATGATCAAGGACGCTGCAGATGGAACAACTGAGATCGATGCCTGTCTGTTTTGAATCGTCAACTGTACAGTGATCTTCAATCCTTTCCAGTCGCTCGTTGCTTTTGCGATATCGTCACCAACTTTTTTCGGCGACTGAAATTAATATGCAATTAAATATTTGGATATTTTTTATTTGTAAAGGAAATGTAATATCGTTATTTTTAAAAAGTAGCTATACGGTAGATGAACAATTCAAATATTTTACAGAATTTACAGGTCGACATCAGTTATTATAGGTCATTGTTTTTCTTTTGAGACAGAAAACAAATGTAAACAATAAATTATTGAAAAAGAATGAAAAAGTGTAAACTTTCTTTATTTTTTTGTATGGTTTCTTATTGTTATGTTATATTTTAGAATGATTTTCATCTTTTATTGATACAAACTAAAAATTAAAATTTATTTAGAAAAAAGGGCCTCAAGATGGACATGGTTTCGATTTAAGGAGGAATTGGACACCCATTATAATTTAATTTTTCATAAAAATGCAACTAACTTTTTATGGTTTTTAAAAAAGTTTTTAAGGTGAAGTAAAAAATTGAAGAAGAATTTAAGTTTCTCCATATTTTCAAAGTGCACTAAAAGAACAGAATTTTTGTAGCATTTTGAGAAATTTTGTATTGATATTTATTTCCCTGACAATTTATTGACATTAAAATTATTTTCCTTGACAAAATTTTTTTCACAGGAAAATATGAAAATTTACGGAAAATGAGTAAAATTTATGAAATTTAATAATTATTTTCTCTACTTTTCAACTAAACTTCATCTCTAAATCAATTATATTAAATAATTTTCCGAAAGTTCTTCCAGAATTAAATTATTTAAATAAGAAAATTCAATTTTTTATAATAATTGTAACTGTCCATGTTTTTTTCTTAAGTTTATTAAAGTATAATATTTTCAAAAAATAATAAGTAATCAAATTTTTGAAGAATTTTAATTACAAATATGACCATGCGTTCTCAAAAATTTTAAAGTTCAAAAAAGTAAATTTTTTTTTGCTTTATTCGAAGGTAATTAAATATTAAAAAAATTATTTATTTAAGTAGTAAACGGGCTTACAAAAAATAAATGCCCTTTTATTATGATAAAAAATTTTAAAAATTAAGTAGTTTTTAAAAATATTTTAATGTAATTTCTCGTAAACAATTAAATTTCTTAAAAGAGTTTTTGTATATTATTGAAAAAAACTAATTCATATTTTGATGAATTTTCATGATATTTTCATTAAATTTTTTGATCCTAATTCAATTATTTTGAAAATTTGCAATTAAAATTCTTCAAAAGTTGATTTTCAAAAATTCTAACAAAATACTTTTAAAAAATTAATTATTTTCAATTAAATTTGTCAAAATTTCAATTATTTAAAATCTTTTTAATTGTATATTTCGAAAATTTGAATAGAAAAATGATTCCAAATAAATTTTTAAAAGATTTTTTAGTTATTTTTCGCACTATAAAAATGGAAATGAGTTACATTTATTACTAAAAAATATATTTTGTTGCAATATTGGGAAGAAAAGTCGAGAATGTCGCAATTTTTTAAAATAAGTCGAAAAAATATCAATTTTCTAAATTTCCCGACAAAAAATTTTTTCTCCGAACATTTCCCTAACTTAACTGACAAAAATGTTGCTTTACTGACATATGGCTACCCTAAATGCCGCAATAAATACAATGACAAACGTAGTAATTTTACTTTTCACTTGTGAAAATACTGTTCAATTGTTAAAACTGCTACGCGTATCATAGCAAAATTACCACCCAGAAAATTTGAAATTACAACTCGATTGTAATGCAACATTTGCTTTTTTTAAAGTGTTCTTGTAAAAAAATTGTCAAGCATGTGATATTTTAAGGTTAGTTTGTACTCACCAAACCAAGTGGACCAATTTTTGGAGCAAGAGAAGAAGTTGCACCGACTTCACCTCCGACACACCTCAAGAACACTAATAAAACAAATAATTCACAAAATTATTATAACAGAAAGATCGTTTTTATGACAAATGAATTACAAAAAAGATCACTTGATGTTGCAGGTTAGGTGTCAAGAAAATAGTATTATGAATTAAATTGAGTACTTTACCTTTCTTAACTTCATTGGGGTCAAACTTTGGTGGCATTTTAGCGTTTTAGATATGAAAACTATCTATTTCACAAAAGATTACAGTTATTTTTTAACTGAAATCAATAGAAACTATTGACACGTGAGTCTCACGTACTGAACGCGAGTTTAGAAAGGCCGGAAACGGAAATTACCAAGAAACTTAAAATTTAAAATGATTGCTCATAAAGGTGCTGTCACATTTACTTGAGCATGCAGAGGAAAATAAAGAGCTTTCTGCAAGTATTGCCTTAGAGTGCAGTCCCATGGCACCGTTTTGCGTTGCGTTTTGTAACTAGGCAATGAGTGCAAATAGAGCAAACATATATCTGTATCTCTCTCACACTCATGGTATAGTTACAAAACGCAACGCAAAACGCTGTCATGGGACTCCAGCCTGAGGGTGTAGTCCCATGGCAGCGTTTTGCGTTGCGTTGTAATGAGAGAGAATGCAGCAAACGTATATTTGCGTCTTTTTCTCTCCCATTAAGACGCAACGCAAAACGCTGTCATGGGACTCCACCCTGAGTGCAAATATAGCAAACATATATCTCCATCTCTCTCACACTCATGGCCTAGTTACAAAACGCAACGCAAAACGGTGCCATGGGACTGCACCCTAAGGCTGGAGTCCCATGACAGCGTTTTGCGTTGCGTTTTGTAACTAGGCCATGAGTGTGAGAGAGATACAGATATAGGTTTGCTCTATTTGCACTCATTGCCTAGTTACAAAACGCAACGCAAAACGCTGCCATGGGACTTCAGCCTCATGGGACAGCGTTTTGTGTTGCGTTTTGTAACTAGACCATGAGTGTGAGAGAGATAGAGATATATGTTTGCTATATTTGCACTCATGGCCTACACTGTAAAAAAATCTGCTGTAAATTTACTATGTCCGACGTTGGAAAGTTTGGTCCCTATGTCCGACGTGGTATTTTTACACGCCGACTGTAATCTACATAACCTGCAAATATTTTTTGAAATAATATTTTCAGTCGTAACTTTTTGTATTTATGAAATATAGCCCAAAACTTTTTGTTATATTATTATTTACTTATAAATTAGCATATACTTTCTATAAATGTACATTATATACACTTTTTTAGAGTTATTTATAAAAACTTGAAAATTTTTTGAAAATCTTAAAGGAATAAGAAAATTACATTCGCCATGTAATTGTACAGATCGTGCGACGTAATATTACGTCAAAGTGTAGAAATACACGCAATGTAAAAATACCACGTCGGACACTGTAAAAAATTCTGGTGTATTAAAACATACTGAATGTAATTTTACACAGCAATATTATAGGCTGGACGTAGTAAATTTACTAAGTTTCAAAGTAGTTTTACTATTTTTAATAATTTTACTTTATATGACTATGTAATTTAATAGTTTTGTGTAAATTTACTACGTCCGACGTAGGAAAATTTGATCACTATGTCCAGCATGTTGTATTACACTCGTCTGTTTTTTTACTTTATTCTGTGAATTTACAATGGTCATGTAAAGTTACCACGGATACGTAAATTTACGTTGTATTGCATGTAAGATTACATGCCGCGTGTATTTTTCCTTTAGCGCGGAGTTAAATATACACTGTAAAAAATTCTGGTGTATTAAAACATACTGAATGTAATTTTACACAGCAATATTATAGGCTGGACGTAGTAAATTTACTAAGTTTCAAAGTAGTTTTACTATTTTTAATAATTTTACTTTATATGACTATGTAATTTAATAGTTTTGTGTAAATTTACTACGTCCGACGTAGGAAAATTTGATCACTATGTCCAGCATGTTGTATTACACTCGTCTGTTTTTTTACTTTATTCTGTGAATTTACAATGGTCATGTAAAGTTACCACGGATACGTAAATTTACGTTGTATTGCATGTAAGATTACATGCCGCGTGTATTTTTCCTTTAGCGCGGAGTTAAATATATTATATGGATGCTTGCACATGCTCAAAATAAAGTGAACTGCCAACACCGACATTTTGCCTTTTTTGTGTTTTTATTATTAGTATATATATTTTAGTGTTTTCAATTAGTATTATTTAACAGATTACGCATTAGTTAAATTACATGCGGCATGTTTTTGAACAGAACGCTATTTGAAGCAACCCATTTTAACATTGAGCATGTAAAATAACATGCAGGTTATGTCAAATGATCAGCCATTTGTAAAATTACACGCTTGACGTAGTGATTTTCTTTTCCTACGTCGGACGTAGTAAATTTACATGAGAATTTTTTACAGTGTATTATATGGATGCTTGCACATGCTCAAAATAAAGTGAACTGCCAACACCGACATTTTGCCTTTTTTGTGTTTTTATTATTAGTATATATATTTTAGTGTTTTCAATTAGTATTATTTAACAGATTACGCATTAGTTAAATTACATGCGGCATGTTTTTGAACAGAACGCTATTTGAAGCAACCCATTTTAACATTGAGCATGTAAAATAACATGCAGGTTATGTCAAATGATCAGCCATTTGTAAAATTACACGCTTGACGTAGTGATTTTCTTTTCCTACGTCGGACGTAGTAAATTTACATGAGAATTTTTTACAGTGGACATAGTGATCAAATTTTCCTACGTCGGACGTAGTAAATTTACACGAAACTATTAAATTACATAGTCGTATAATGTAAAATTATTAAAAATAGTAAAACTACTTTTGGAACGAAATAAATTTACTACGTACAACCTATAATTTTGATGTGTGAAATTACAAGTTTCGTGTTATTTTACACCAGATTTTTTTACAGTGTAGTTACAAAACACAACGCAAACGGTGCTATGGGACTTGAGGCCGCAGTCCCATGGCAGCGTTTTGCATTGCGTTGTAATGAGAGAGAATGCAGCAAACGTATATTTGCATCTTTTTCTCTCCCATTACGACGCAACGCAAAACGCTGTCATGGGTCTCCACCCTGACCCTCAGGGTGCGATTCCATGTGAGCAGAATACGTCGACCGAAAGCAGAAAATCATGAGGGTGAAAAGAACAACAATATCTACCTATCTTTTTTGCACTCATGATTTTCTGCTTTCGGTCGACGTATTCTGCTAACATGGGATCGCACCCTCATTGTAGGAGGCTGTGGCATGTGACGAGCGACTATTATCTCGCTCGAGTATTTCTCGATTAATCGAGATGTGTTTAAAATGTCGCGGCAAAATATAATATTAATTATATTTTGATTAAAGCCTTGCGATTGAATTGAACTTAGCATCGTATTTTTACAAACATACCTTAAAATAAGAATGTATTCAAAAACATTCTTATGTTAAAAATATGAATGAAAAGAATAATTAAGAAATAGCCGTAGGGATTTCCAAGCAATATGTTCTTCTAATAAAATCATAAAATTTAGTCTAAGACTCAAAAACACATTTCCAGTAATAAGGAAACAGAATTTCCTGTCAACTAAAAAAACAACGTTTTCTAGAAACTCAATAGAGTTGTAAACCGTAGGTAAAGAAGGCGTCATAAAAATATGCGAACCAATTTCTTAAGATGACCCTTTTTTTAGGTAGAGCAATAAAATCACATCTGCCTGCAAAATTCGTTATATCCTTTTTCTCATGAAAAAGGCACGTTTTGGAAATCCCACATTTGGCATTTTTTCTGATAAATAAATATGAATTGATTTCATTTATAATTTCTATAATAATTAAAATAATTATTGTAATTAAATTAATGTTACATATTTTGATATTAATGTACTAACTTCTATTCCAAATTATACTTTACTAATTAATATCAAAACAACTACTTTATTTCTTATTGTTATTAACTAACAAATGTTGAATGTGTATATATGAGTGTGTAATGTGCAGATGTATATATGCACATGAGTATGTTTACATATTAGAAATTATGTATATATTATATTATCTTCATGTATATTCTTTATGTACAATATAATTATAATGTAAGACACTTCACACATTTTAATATGGTGTAATTGTAATTTAGATTCATTAATCATAAATAGAACAATTTATTGTAAATATAGCAAAAGTATGATGAGTGAATATAGTATGTATAAGAGATACTCTTTTATGTATGTGTAGAATTCACAGTGTCGTGCCTTAAAAGTGTTAGTGTCTCGATGTTGAATACATATCCAACAAGAGTGCGCGTCATAGCGAGCATGCGCATTCGGACTAAAATGAACATAAGACGGAGAGCATCTCCGTCTCGTCTGACAACAAATTTGCAGAGTTCTAATCTTGCGCTTGACTAGAAAGGTTCTTGTCGTCTAAGTTCCTTAGTCAGCTTGATTAAAACAAAGTATTTTAATAAACTTAAAGGGTTTTACCTTCGAAAGGAGACAAATATATTATCTTCTTTCGAACGGGTTTCCCTTCCGTTGTACGGAATTTAATCTTGTTTTATTTAAATTATCCCGCTTCCTTTTTAAAGGATTTAACCAAGTCGAATTTAATTTTATTTTCTCTCTCTATCGTGTAATCATTGTATTATTTAAAGATATTGTAAAACTATTATTATAAATAATTATATAAAACTGTAATTAGATATAATATTAATATTAATTTAAGTTTATTATTATTATTAGTGTTTAATTAATTAACGAATATGCATTAAATATTTTACTTATAATTTAAAAATGAAACGAAATTATGATTATGAAATACTGAATTTGTACTTCTTATTATTGATAAGAAAAACTGTGAAATTATATTGTAAATCTTCGTATGACGGTTATTTTATTGCGCAGTTAAAAACTGCGCAGTAGAATGAATGACAATAATGAGTCATTTGTAGGATGCGTAATAATTTAACCTTAAGGGTAGAGTCCCATGACAGCGTTTTGCGTTGCGTCGTAATGGGAGAGAAAAAGACGCAAATATACGTTTGCTGCATTCTCTCTTATTACAACGCAACGCAAAACGCTGCCATGGGACTGCGGCCTGAGATCTGTTAAATGCGTAATAATTTAACCTTGACACGTGTCATTATTTTGGTCATTTGGAAAATGCGCAATAACTTGACCTTGAATGTTCAACGCTTATTGGTCAAGTGCCACGTCATCAGCGCTCTGATTGGTTAAACAAAGAGTTGGGTATATAAAGTTTTAGTTGGGTATATAAAGAGAGCGCCTGAGACCCAAAGACTCAGACAATTTTCGAGACTTGAGAAGAGACCACTAATTATTAGTGTATATCTTTAAAAGTATTATTGTTAAATCAACGAATCTTACAATTTGTGAATAACCTTCGAACCTTCGACAAACAATTGTTAAATTAATATTTAACAATAAAACAATTATTTGTAAAACAGAATTGTGAAGTGTATATTTTAAAGAAACAATATTTGAACTTAAATAAAATTGGTTTTTTACCCGAAAAGGGTTTTTTTCCAATCAATTATAAGTGTACATTTATTAATCCCACCTTTAATCTGAATAATAAATTCAAATTTAAATTCAGTGCCCGCTTTCAAGCGGTTATAACAGTAAAAAGAATCCAGCCATTGGTTATTTGTGAATCCAACGGAAATATACGTAAAATATAACCTGTGACGCGACAGAGGCCATAAAAACAGAAGAAGGAAGAATTCATTGTAGAACCTCCTTTATGGAATTTCCGATCACGATGTAAATATTTTCGTCTGACACATTTGGGCGGTATTCATAGTCCCGACTTAAGCAAGGACTTAAGCTTTGCTTGATCAAGTCGGTCTTATTCGAATGAGTCGAGCTTAAGACCGTATGTATTCATAGTCAAAAATAAGCAATTGCTTGGTAAAGGAAATGCAGCTTAAGAACTTCTTGACCAAGCAAATGCTTAAGATGATCTTATTGAGCGTTCGGCTTTTTCCGTCAATATTCTCTTGTATCTACCAATAAGCGATAGTAGATAGCTTATATTCATTAGAAAAAATGACGCTAATGCACATAAAATATCTGATAAGGGAGAGGAGGGGGGGTCAAAAAAACTGAAAAATATGCATATTTTAATATTTTTAGGATAAAAGTTATAAAGTAAAAGGATACAAGAAATGACTACCAGAATGATGAAAATTGAAATATTCTTATTCCTCACGAAATATTATATTTAGATTCTAAATTTTTCTGTATTAAAAAATAGAAAAAATTATTTTAACTATTATTATATTGTTTCTAAAAAAAATTATTGAGTCAGAATCAATGAAATTTTACAAAAAATAAGGAGTATTTTTATAATCGAAATGAAAAAAAGCATTTTTATTTGGCCATTGTCTCTAACAAACAAACGACAGAAAAAATTTTGTTTAAAAAAAGTTATTGTAAAATGAATTTTTTTGCAACTTTTTATAAAAAAATCTTATTTTTCCTAAAACAATGAACCAAGAGTGCATATAAACGGGGTAAAACAATTAACTTTCATTTGGAACTACAAAATTTTTAAAAATAGTATTTTTTAATAATTATTTAATATTAACAGTTTTATTTCCTCATAGGGTGTCGATTTTCTTAGAATCAATTATTTTTACAAATTTTCAAGTATAGCGTATATAAATATTTCAACATGGGGAACAAATTCTCCGGATGTATGTGTGTGGATGCATATCGAAATGTTTTTTCAACATTTCGATGAAAAAAAATACTTTTTATTTCTCGTGAAAATTTTATAAATTTTGAACCTTTTTTCTAAATTATTAAATTTTAATTATTATTAAATTGTTTTTAACAAAAAATCTTTTCATTTTTATTATAAATATTTATAAAAAGACAATAAGTAATTGCTTAAGTCATGTAAAGCGTTGACTTAAAATCATAACCTCAATTCGTTCAAATAAGTTCACCGGCAATGTCAAATAAGATCATCTTATTTGACTATGAATACTTGTCATTCTTAAGATGGGACTATGCATCTCAAAATCGAAGCATTTACTTTATCAAGCATATGCTTAAGTTGCGGCTTAAGGCAATGCTTATTGCACGACTATGAATCTAGGTGGCAGCTTAAGTCGCTGCTTAAGAAATAAGTATCGACTATGAATACCGCCCTATGAATACCGCCCATTGTCAAAAGTATATATAGTTTATAAATAATTGAATAGAGATTCTATTGAAAAGGAAAATTTTTCTTTCAAAAATACTATTACCCAAGTATGATTTTTCAAGATGGGAAAGTGTTTCTTGTGTGGAAAATTACCTGATGCAGAGAATAATATAAATTTATATAAGTAAGTAACCTCAGCATAACCTTACTTTATATGGGGGTTTTCAACGAATATTAAAACGTAAATAACTCAAAATGTTATATTAAAAAATAATATTAATTTTAAAATATAATTTTACAATTTTTATACATTACAAAGAACACCCGAATATCTATCTAGGATAAAGAGTAAGGTGATCTGCAGCAGGACAGTGAATGATACTATTATAGCATACCACTCTGTCAAGTTAAAAAAATATAATTTTTTTTATTACGGATTTCGAAAGTAAAATATCTCAAAGATGTTGTGTAAAAATTTTAGAAAGATCACAGCACTAAATATATTATTTTCGGTGCTATTTGAGCGCGTGCAAGGGATATACAATAGTAACTTTATACGCATTTTTTTCGAAACCACATTTTCCGATTCTGTGTAATGTTTTTTTCGGAAACTAGTCTACCGATTGGATTCTTATGAAATTTTTACCACTTCTTCGTCAGATGTGTGGGTACCGCCGGAATTATTTAAAAATATTTAATTTTTTTAACCGAAAAACCGTCTAAAAAACACTGTTTTTCGAATAACTCGCATCGGTATTTCTAGCAAGGCTAAAAATATTGTTAAATTTTAAATAAACAAATAATAATTTTTAATTATATGAAGTTCTTTATATAGTTATAGAGTGTCTTTGTTCAACTTAAAAAGATCTAGATCAATAAAATCTGCAGGGATCATAAAAGAATTTCTACAAGAAAGCTACATTTTCAGGCGTGTAAAGTGGTATGAACCGTTAAAAGTACACTGTATGAGCTAACTTTTAAACCTATAACTATCAATTTAGACACAAACCATTTTTAGAGAGAGGGGAGAGTAACATTGCAAAGAATGCCTCAAATATATTACTCTTTTAAATAATTATATTGATATTAAATTATATTAATTAGTATCAAATTTCCCAAAAAATTGTGATGTTTAATTGATTTAATAATTTAATTTTTAGATTTCCACGAAATGATGATTTGTACAAGAAATGGCTTCTTATATTAGGTTTGGAAAGAAAGGAGTTGAAAAGAAAAAGTTACTTGTGCTCGAATCATTTCAATTCAGAGAGCTTTACGATTCCTTGTAATGGAAGTAAAAAGTTTTTGAAACCTGGAAGTACACCTACAGCTTTAGCAAAAGAAGTAAAACTAAATTCTTCAGGTGGGTAAAAATTTGTATTAAGGGACTATTCATAGCTTCGTATATTAACAAATCGTAGGTTTTGTACATAAATTAACATTTGAATTGTGTTGAGTGTTCTAAACAAGTCTTGCAAAATTTTAATATCAAATAATATATTTTAACTGCTGATTAAGTTCGTTGCCTAAATTTTTGTTTGCCTTAACTCTACGGATGATTGAGTTTTTGTTTCATATCTATCAAGCGCTGCGCAAATTGTTAGATAATTTATTTATTCTTTTGAGATTTTTAAAACCTGGACGAAAAATTAAAAGTACTGTAACTTCATCAATTTTAAAAATTTTTGAAAACCCTTTGACTTACAAAACATCTCTTTCCTAACACTAAAGATTTCTAAAAAAAAATCAAAAGATTTTATGAAAGACCCCTAACAACTCATTCGGTTCATGACTTGATTGCGAAGAATTTGCTTTGAGTTTTGGGTTTTTTCCATTTATGTAACGTGTAACGTTATTGAAAATTTGTTAACTATATTTCAAAATAAAATACACAATTATCTTTCGTATTTAAAGAATAAAATTCATTTTATAAAAGTTGATGTACGTCAATAGTAACATTATATTATGCACAATTTAAATTTGGGACATGAAAAAATTCATTTGATTCTTCTAGGATTAAAAAAGGTGTAATTAGTTTTTTATTTTTGTAGTTGAAGAACAAGAAGCTTTAAAGATGCACGATGGGGAGAACATTTGTCATGATCGTCACTACACTAATACTTTCCAATCTATGACGACGACTATAGCAAAAATAGCAGAAAATTTGGATTCTTTGAAAAAGGAGAACAAAATTCTTCGCCAACAAACAAATCATCTTAAAACGAAGGTATATTCTTTACATACATACATTTTTAATTTTGCAATTCAAACTTCAGAAGTCGCAAAAGAGCAACAAATTTATTTTTGGTTGAACATTCTTGCGTTTCCAATAAATAAATAAATAGTAAATAAAAAGGGAAAGAAATACAAAAAAAATTTCAATTTTTTGTTTAAAGTTTTACTTGTATTAATCTAACATTTTGAATGAGGCAACAAAATATTTTTGTTGTGCTGACAAAAACAATTTTCACAAATAATTTAGTAATGAAAATGGTTATACTTACAGAAAACAGTGATATAATATTTTATTATATTAATCTACACTTAAAAAGAAATCTTTCCAATTTAACTAAAACACTTAATTCTTTTTCTAAAAAATTTAGCATAAAAAAACGAAAAAATTTTTTATTCTACGTTTATACAGGGTCAGTCCATTATATTTCATCTCAAGCCGTTGCGGCCTATTTTTAAAAAAATCTCATAATTTGTAAAAATGATGTTTAATATCCATAAAATTCATTTTTGAGAATTATTTTATAAAATTTTTTGAATTTAACTTAGAATTTTAATTTTTAAATTGAATTGGACAGAAAAAAGGTTAGATTGACAGTTATAAAAATTTAATTAATAAAAAAGCATGGAAATAATTTAGATAATACAAATTTCAAAATTGATATGTGTTAAAAATGAGCTAATTTACTTGTATAAATAGATTATATCATGTAAACACTGCAAAAAGAAGTATCTTAATTAAGATGTTTTTGTAGTCATTTCTAAGATGTTATTGTAGTCACTTTTTAGTCATTTAAAATGTCTTAATTTAAGATGCTAAAAGCATCTTCGTACACATTTTCAGCATATTTTTCAGAAAAAAAGTTTTGAGGTTAACTATGGGCTTATATGTAAGACCATTGTAAGACATTTTATGCATCTTAGTTTTTAGTAACTTAAATTTTTTTCGCATCTTACAATTCACAAGTATCTTATAGCTAAACATCTTATTGAGACAGAAACATCTTAATTTAAGATACTTTAAAAAACTTACAGAAGTATCTTACTCTTTTAAGATAGAAGAAATATCTAAGACGTATAAAACATCTTAAAAATTAGTAAGATACTTTAGAAAACATCTTATTTTAAGATGTAAGATACCATTTTTCCATCTTACATCTTATTTTAAGATATCAAATAAGATACTTATTTTTGCAGTGAACATACCCAAAATAATAGATAAAAATTGATTTTAAAATTTACCTATGAAATGTCGAAAGTCACTACATTTTAATTAAATTTTTCTAAAAAGTGTATAAATATTAAAAAATTTATTACTTCTTAATGTAAAGTATTTTCAATGTACTTTCATAATATGTGGTAACTTTTTAATTTTATAATATAGAAATATGAAAAATTTTACCTTTAATATTGAGTGTTTCATGATTTTCATTGATTTTTATTACTTATTTCTTCTCAGGTGCAAGACTAAAAAATCCAATTTTTGTCTTAATATTTAAGTTTGAACTTCTTTTCCATTCTATTAAATTTTGGTGATGGAGAACGAGCTACTTTTCATTTTAAATTTAGTTTAAAAAATCTGCTGAAAAAACGAATTTGTTGGTTAAAATGCAGGTAATTTTATAACACTGAAGTTGGCTATCTCAATAGTCATGCAAAAATCTACTTGCATTTTAACCAATAAATTCTTTTTTTCAGCAGATTTTTAAAAATAAATTTAAAATGAAAAGTAGCTCGTTCTCCATCACCAAAATTTAATAGAATGGAAAAGAAGTTCAAACTTAAATATTAAGAAAAAAATTGGATTTTTTAGTCTTGCACCTGAGAAGAAATAAGTAATAAAAATCAATGAAAATCATGAAACACTCAATATTAAAGGTAAAATTTTTCATATTTCTATATTATAAAATTAAAAAGTTACCACATATTATGAAAGTACATTGAAAATACTTTACATTAAGAAGTAATAAATTTTTTAATATTTATACACTTTTTAGAAAAATTTAATTAAAATGTAGTGACTTTCGACATTTCATAGGTAAATTTTAAAATCAATTTTTATCTATTATTTTGGGTATGTTTACATGATATAATCTATTTATACAAGTAAATTAGCTCATTTTTAACACATATCAATTTTGAAATTTGTATTATCTAAATTATTTCCATGCTTTTTTATTAAATTTTCATAACTGTCAATCTAACCTTTTTTCTGTCCAACTCAATTTAAAAATTAAAATTCTAAGTTAAATTCAAAAAATTTTATAAAATAATTCTCAAAAATGAATTTTATGGATATTAAACATCATTTTTACAAATTATGAGATTTTTTTAAAAATAGGCCGCAACGGCTTCAGATGAAATATAATGGACTGACCCTACAACATTTTTATAACCAAAAATGTATTAAATAAAAATTGAATAACTTTTGAACGACCAAACGAAATTGAATGAGGCAAACTCTAAATAAATCTTCGCTGTGGCTTCTTTCAGATTCCGAAAAAAATTCGAACAACGGAAACAGCTTTATACAATATGTTAATATTTTTGTTCACTTTTGAACGTAAACATTAGAAGTTCCGGTTCAATAGGAGAGGTTTTTTTTGACGTAATACTTGGTGGAAACATTTCTTTTAAGTACAGATTAAAATTACTGAATTTGATTGCAATTGGTTTTCTTACTCCGAAATATCAGAATTTTCCTTTAGAGTCGTACAACAAGCATATTCTTGGAAAGAATTATCGCATTACTAACTAGGCTTCGTCCATAAATTACGTCACACGTGTTTAGCCCATTTTTGACCCCCTCCCCCCCTTTGTCACACTACGTAACATCTGAAGAAACCCCCTCCCTCTAAATTACGTCACAATTCGTAAACCCCCCTTTAATAAATTTTTCCAAAATGAATCACTGTCAATATCTAATTTTACCTCGAATTTTTTTTATAAATAAAGTTACTTATATAATTAGTACATTTTTTAATATTTTAAAAACAAGAAATATATTTGATATTTTTATTTATTACAATTTTCTCATTATAATAAATAGAGTATAAAGTGTGACATAACAAAATAAAAGGCCCTCACCCCCCCTTTGTCACAATTAGTCACATTTTCATAGACCCCCTCCCCCCTTAAAAAGTGTGACGTAATTTATGGACGAAGCCCTATTAGATATTTAAATTAAAATTACTTTTAAAATAAGTCAAAGAACATGATCTTGAAATTGGCATCCAGTTATTATAACGCCCACTTTAAAAATTAAATGTTCTTTTTGTTTAAAACAACATAAAATTTTTTAAATCAACTGGGTTCCTGTTTCAGTTTCATTCAAAGAACATTAAAACATGTGAAATATTTCAAAAATGATATTAATTTTAATAAAACAAGGCAAACTCAAGAATTTTTTAAATGTTTCTAGCAAAATAATTAAGTTTTTTTTAAGTTTAATTGACAAAAAATTCTAACAGATTTGTGGCTTAGACGGGAAAAATGTTAATTAATACAATTTTTGCAGATACGTACTGTAAAATTAATTGAAATTGACTAAATAATAATACGTAGGGGAGAGTAGGCTACATTGAACTAGGTTTTTTATAAAGTCCAAGAACTAATTAAATTCTACAAATTTTGATCAGGTTTTTGTATCAAAATAAAATTGAAGTACTCCTTTAGTTAATACACACGTTACAAACAGAAAATATTATGATTAAATAATGTAATTTAATTTTTTTCTAACCAGTTTGTATACACATGGAATTCACAACAAAAACTGTTTATAATAAATTTATGTAAGATTTAAAATTCTTTATCACATCGGAATATTGAAGTTGACACCCTAAGCGAAATAAATCACAAGTTTACTAGTTTTTAAAACTTCCTATTTCAATAAAAAACGTCATTATATTTCCACCAAATTTTTTGTTTTGTACGTGAAAAACATTTTTTTTTAGTTTTTCTTTGTAAATAATAAACCTACGTGCCGGAAATTTTTGGACATAGTCTGCTTTGGTAATACTAAGTTACATATTGAATAAGAAAAAATTTCACTCAGTCATTTCTCAGAAAATTGAAGTGGTTCACTGTTGACGATGGTTCAATGTAGTCTACTCTTCCCTACACAGAGAGATAAAAGAATATATTTGAAATTTTGTAAAAATATTTTGCAATTTAAGGACAAAATGCGCAAAGCAAAATTTTTTGATATAAAAAATACTAAACATTAAAAAACTTATATGAAATTAGTATGTATAATTATATCAAATATCAAGTATATTAATTAAATTTTAATATAACTTTACTAAATTGCACATAAGTTTTTTTAAAGTTTAATATTTTTTATATCAAAATTTTACTTCGTTGCACTTTTTCCCCAAATTATAAAATACTTTTACAAAATTTAATATACACTACCGTCCGTGAGTATCTTTTTTAATGAGTGGAAAAATGCTTAACACGTAGAAAATAAGAATGACAAAAATTTTTTATATTTTTTTCCTGAAAGCTAATGAAATTATGAAAAGACTGACACCTGATCGAAGAATTTTCGTTGACCAAGAACGCTAATAAAAGTTGATTAGTTTTCGAGAAATTAAAAAATTACGAAAAGCATTCAAAATCCAGTATTTTTTCTGTATCTGACAGAATAGTCAACGAAAATTCTTCGATCAGGTGTCGAGTCTTTTCATAATTTCATTAGCTTTCAGGAAAAAAATACGAAAAATTTTTGTCATTCTTATTTTCTACGTTTTAAGCATTTTTCCACTCATTAAAAAAGGGGCGTCCTGATACTCACGTACGGTAGTGTATTACACCCTGATAAGCATAATTCTTTGTTTTATTATATAAAAAAATAATTTAAAATATATTTTTCTTTACAGATTATTTATCAACACTCTCTTTCAAATGATGTGGATTTTACCGAAAGCCGGTGGAACAATATTCTTAAATTTGATTATAACAGCTAACGATTTTTAAATATTTAATATATTTAAACGTAAAAATTATTTTATAGAGAACGTAATGTACTGTATACTATTGTATATCTTAATAAAATCTAGGTTTTATATTATAATATAATGTATAATTTTAATACTCCAAATGAAACAGATCAATATAATGAATGCACTTTAAGTTTGAAGCAAAGCAAAGTCCTTGTTGAGTATAGTGAATAATGCTAACAGATAAAATTAAATAAATACATGTTTTTAATTGACAGTAATAAGTAAAATTTAATATTAAGCAATAAAAAATGCATTTGCTTACGGGTACCATTAAATATTAATTTTAAAAAAAGCATGTTTAATTTTTTTCTGCTTACAAAAGTAAATTTCTCACTCTTCAATGTCACGAGAAACTTATTTTCTGTATATTTATATGTGTATTTCGAAGAAGGAGTTTTAAGTAAATTTAAAAAATGGTTTTTGAATAATTTATTTGCATTCACTCATAAACAATCATTCTTACTTTTATATTATTTAGAAATTCATAAATAAAGAAAGGAAATATAATTTAAGTAAGTACTTATGGCTTTCAAATACAGAACTTTAGAAAACAAAAATGAGTTTGACGGTATAAATAGTATTAAGGAAAATCAGACTTTTCGGTACTCATTTCATTTCAAAAAAATTTGGCCCCGGAAAGGAAGCAGGAACAACGAAAATGGTAATATTTAAGTTACAAGCAAATTTAGTTAAAAGTAACTCCTCTTCAATTTGATTTTATTTCATGTTTCCAGTGGAAAATCAGGAATGGCTCGGCTCTTGGGAATTTCCGAGAATTGTTCTATTTCAGGTACATTAGGTTCAGTTTCTGTTTCGATTAAAATTTGCTGCAGCCACTGCTGAACTTGTTTGGGATGTTCAGAATCGTCAGTGTGACTTTTGTGAAATTCCTTTTTTTTCTCAATATTACAAGCATTCTCCTTGTTTCTTGTTTGTACGGAATTTTCCTCAGCTGTCGAAAAATGAAATTCTTTTTGATAACTTTCACTCTCTCCATTGCCTAGATTACTATTGAACAATTCCGATAGACTAATTTCTGAATTAGTCACATAAGAATCGTCAAAGTCCTCGTCAATTAATTGAATGTTCATCAATTCCGTTGAATTTAAATCCCAGGATTTTGTAGAGTCAGTTTTCGTTTTAATGGTTTCATTTTGGGAATTTGAATTGGACGGACTCGAAAAGTTTTGTTTTTGCAATTCCTTATCAAAACTGACATGATCTCGATTTGCTTCTTGATAATCCTCAACTTTGTATGGCTCAGTATCATTAATTATGCAATTAATGTCTGATAATTCGATTTTGCCGAATTGTAAAACTTCCTTCTCGAGGTCATTTTCTTTACTAAGATTCACAATTAATGATGGTATGGAAGAATGGAGTTTTAAATTTGATTGTACAAGGGATAATTGTTGTGTGTGAATGGCATCAATCTGACGTAGTAGTTGTTTCTCTCTGGCTTTTATCACATCAACCAACCGTTTGAAGCATACTTTTATTTCGTCCTGTGCCTGTAAAATAAAATTTTTCTTTTATTTTGTATTCTTTAATTATTGATTATTTAGTATACAAAAATAAAAAGTACTATTCTCGATTAATTTTTTTGAGAAGAAAGTTACTTTTAAGGAATGTTTTATTCTACTTATCAACAATTCAAACATCATATCACAGTACTTTTTATCCTCAAAAAAGGTGAAAGGGGAAATATTTTTCCTGAGAAAGGGGACAAAAAATATTCCAAAAACAGCCAATAAAAATGAGTAGTAGAAAGTAGGATTTCTGAACTTTCTGATAAAAAATATATTTATTTTTTAATTACTTAATTTAAACAGAAAATGAAGTTTAAAAGTTGAACTTTAAAAAATCTCAAAACACGTTACCTCCGATTTTAATAAAATTTATATCAAACGAAAGCTTGTAGATTCTACTTTTTATTTATCAAACGATAATAATGGACATTTCAGTGGATTTTAAGAAATTAATTAAATTTACAGACATTTCGAAGGTGTTTGTGGGTATTGATACGAGTGCCCCGCATTTACTTTGAAAATCCCTAATTCGGATGAGAGCACAAAAAGTTGCATTAGTTAGTTGAGAGTGCTTTTAGAAATATAAATATATTTAGGTATATATGTGTTTTGTAAACAAATATTTATTACAAAGTTATTTTTAAATAAAGCAATAACATTAGTTTTTTGTGATCTAAAGATTTTTTAGTTCTATGAAAGATTATCTAGGGTAAGTGCACTAGTTCCTGCGGCATTCCAGCCAAAATATCTTTTGCATATAAAGAAATATACTTAAACAGCAAAGGAATTAAATTTAAAATTTATTAAACCAATTGCTTGTATTCTTGAGAAATTTTTACAAAAATTAATAGCCTATAAATTTAGAGCGTTTAATTAAAATTAAATAATTAAAAAGAATATCAAAAGCGTCTAATTCTGCGCGCTGTGTCAATTGCTGCGCATTTCACATGCATGTTTCAGTTTCTGCGACAAGCAGAATTTAAAGTTAAATAATTAAAGTAATTTTATTTTAAATGTATATCTATATAGATAATTGTACCAAGTATTGTTCAAAATAGTTTTTTCAACGTTTTTTATGTATTAATATTTTCTTAAGTGATAAATAATTACACATTTCACAAATGCGCAGCAATTGATGCACTTACTCTACTCAATAAAAAAAATTTTATATAAATTAACATTTTTAATTGATTTTTTGAAAGTGTCTGATTTTAAAACACGTAGTAATTAATTGGACACCTCATTTTTATCAATGCAAAAAATAGATTATTTACTTTAACGCAGAAATTAGACATTTTGATCCTCAGTGAAGTTAATTTTTAAAACTAACACAAAAACGTTTAAGAAAATCTTCATTTTTGGAAAAGTAATGTTGATCTTAAGAAATTATTGCAAATTAAACTTCTTTTCAAATATTATAATTAAATGTATCAGAATCTTTTTGATTAGGAAATATTTTTTTCTAAATTTTAATAACTTTTAATGACTTACAAAGAGAAAATTTTATGTTACTGTATTATAAAAAACAAAGGATTTTTTATAGTAATGAAAAAAGGGTACTGTATAATTATTGTCATAGATTATATTAGATTAGGAGCTTTCATATTTATTGTAATAGAAAACAATTAATTAATAATTTTACTAAAGAGTATGTTTCGCGATAAATAATGTTTATTAAACAATATTCATTAAGGACCATAAACAATGAATACATTAAAAATTAGTAATACATAATGAATTGCAGACCTGTGCAGTTGAGTCCTTCAGATATTGCCTTTTCTCGGTGATCAATTTAATTCGATCCGGGCAAGAATTTGAAATTTCCTTGGTTTGTTCATTCTTTCCTATCATATTCAGTAAAAGATAAATTCTTGTGGAAATACCGAATTTCCACTAAAAATCGTGTGCAAAATCTATCACAGTCCACAGTTTGTAAGAATAAATTCAAAAGCCATCGTAACAGCTCTTTTTTGTCAGCTGTTTTTTTGGCACGAGAAAAACGAACCTTAAACCGGTTCTACTTCCGCTAAACGGCCCTTAATCAAACAAGAAAGGTGCATCATTCGTAACCCCTTCTTCTTCCTGTATTAATTCAATTTCATTTCAAAGAAAATAATTAGCAAAGCGCGGTAAGATTACAATTTATATTATGTACTTTGTTGTAACTATATAATATATATATTATATAATGTGGAAAAACTATAGGGATGACAAAATCGCTATCAATTTCGACATTAAAGGTTCAGGCACAATAACTATGCGTTTTGCGTTGCGTTTTGTAACTAGGCCATGAGTGTGAGAAAGATACAGATATAGGTTTGCTCTATTTGCACTCATTGCCTAGTTACAAAACCTTCTGTCATTTTCCTTGTTCCTGTATCCGTTTTTATCAGGGATGGGTGCGTATAATACATGATGTATAATACGTGGTTTTATACATGTATATTACTACGTATATTACGTCCTAGGTTTTCTACATTATTGTTACGAGCGGTACTAAGGTAAACGTACCAATTATGGGACGCTGTTTAAGCTAAACTAAATTTCTATGATAAATTTCTTGGAATCGGGAGTGTTAATATGAATAATTAGGGTATAGATTGAAAGATTGATATGTTATGAATAATATTTAGACCCTAAAATGGTTATTTTTCATGAAATAAAAATAATATTAATTAAATTATGAAACTCTGCACTGCACTAATTATGGGACTATGATTTCTGTATGTACGGGTGTCCCATAATGAATGTTCCTATTATGAGACATTTATTTAATTCAATAAGTAATTAGAATTCTATTGACTTATCCTAATAATTTGAATATTAATTATAAAGAATAAAATACAATAAACAAATTCTGGTTTAAAAAATAATTATAAAACTAATTTTTCTGGTAGAAAATTAATGCGAAAAAACTGAAAATATTTGAGGTTATGTTTGCTGTATATTTCCTGTGTGTCTCATAATAGGGATAGCAAATAATAAGTGCACCTAATGTGGGACGGTAGTCTGACGAAAAACTTGGCTTACCTTAATTTAAAAGCTAAAATGCAAATAAACATTTCTTATTAAATTAAATGCTATACACAAATAATTATTCTTTTAACGTGTAAAATTTTTTGAAATAAGTAGAAATTTCTTATGACCAATTTTAATTGCATTTATTTTATTTTTTGTAATACTGTCTCATAATAGGGACAAAATTGTAAATTGTCCCATAATTGGGACCTTTACCTTATGGGTACTGTGCAAATTCACTCGTATTTGATTCGCGGATTCATTCTTAGTAATATCCCTGAAAAGGGACCGGGAAATTTCAAATAAATACAGAAGTAATTCCGTTAAAACGGAGGGAAAAACTCTTACGAATAGGAGGAACCAATTAATGATTAATATTTATATTAATAAATTATTAGTTCTACTTGCTTCGTGAGGAAACCCTTTTAGTTTATTATAAAAGTCAACTTTACAAAATGCAACCTTTCGGTTCGAGATTAGTCTTAATACTAAAGAGCAACGAGAGGAGATCTGCGTCTCCGCTCTAAGTACATAATATTGTTCACTGCGCAAGTCCTGAGTGACGTACGTTCATCACCAATTCACTGTACATTTCTATACACTTCTCTTCTCATCAACTGTACATTTTACACTCATACAGTCATACTCATTGTTTCTAAAAGTCATACATTTATCAGACATTACAAATCAAATATATTACATACTGTCTTATTCTATTTCATTAATTAATAACAATTATTGTATTTTATACACTAATAAGTTTTATAGTTTATTTAGACTTAATAGTTTAAACATTAATTAATATTTATGAATATGATTACACATATTATTAACAAATTATTAACATTAGTTATGAATAAAGGAATGAAACGCATTTTGCCGAATTAATGCGTATTTCAAAACTTCTTTGTCAAAGGAAAAGATATTCGATACTTATTTAGATTTTGTTTATATGAAGTATTCCTAAGTGGAAATACCAAGAAGACTTTAGGGAAATATAATAGCTTATTTTACGAGTTAATTCTCGGAGCAGATAAAAAGGTTATTGTGTATATATTTTCCAATATTTATTCTATTTAATAAATTGAAAGACGATTCGTTTTATAATTCGAAATCTAAAAAGCTGTGCCATCTCTCACGATTTAGAATTAACATTTTACTTAAAATTATTAATTTATATTTAAATTAATTAAAAGAAATCTCATCGATATATCGAGATTCGATTTATCGATTATCAGTAGAGCGAGTTTTTAAATTAACAAAATTTTTATCGTTTTGTTAATAGTAAAATAAAATGTTTATTAATTAAAATCTTTACATATTTAATTTCTTTTATTTAGAAATTTAATCATAGCCGTCACAGTAATATATGTATAAATAAGCATACAACATAACCTATATTCACTAGTGTCATAGTAGTGCAAAACTTTTTTTATGAATTAAATTTTTTTTGAAAATTTAAATATATAGGAATAATGGGAATATAAATAATAAATAACAAACATTTGAGGTTATGGTAAAGAGGGTTAATATGTCAAAATAAGTCTGCCATCATATAAATACAAAAAGTTACGACTGAAAATATTATTTCAAAAAATATTTGCAGGTTATGTAGATTACAGTCGGCGTGTAAAAATACCACGTCGGACATAGTGACCAAACTTTCCAACGTCGGACATAGTAAATTTACACCAGATTTTTTTACAGTGTGGTTATGTATTTTACCTAGTTTTATACAGTTTTATACGTATAATACGTCGAAAATGTATTATACGTATAAAACCTCGAGTGACGCGTCAAAACCCATCCCTGGTTTTTATTCTAAATATTTAGTGATTTAAATTACTTAAAACGAAATTCCCTATGCTAGTGAATTATAGTGACTTTTGTATTTCTTTAAACTTACTGAATTACCAAAGACGACACTAGGGACTAGGCGGGACGCCTCTTTACCCTTCTCATCACCTTCTTCGCAAATCGTTACAAAATTCTTTTTCACTCTCACAAAACGCTCTTCCATTCCTTCCTTCAATATTTCCACACGGAGAGAAAAATCAAGCGTTTGTAGTATGGAGACTTCCTATGCTAATTTTGTATGAACGTCCTGCTGAAGAGGCATGTTTTTATACCTCAGTTGCATGAAACATATACTAAAAAAGCATGGATCTCTTGCAATCGTAGTATACTGACGTCCCATGCGTTACAGGTAGAACTTTTATGCTGATAACGTAGAAATTTATACAAATACAGCAGAAGTTTTACGCATATTGCGCATGTGCATTCTTTTACGAAATAAGCTTAACTGTCCATACTACAAACGCTTGATTTTTCTCTCCGTGCACTAGCTCCATTAAATCCATACAGTCTTCGCACGTCATAACCTTTCCATTCTTACCTATCCCTCTTTTAAATATTCGCGCCTTTTTCTCACTCTCTCGAACAAGGTAGTTCAAGTTGGGTGGGGGAAATCCAATATGGCTGCCATCAGCTGATTTACCGGAGGACCAAGAAGCAGGGATGGGTAAAAGTGTTTTTTTCGGAGTTTTCTACGTATAATACATAAATGACGTATAATACGTAGAAAATTGTAGAAAACCTGGTATTATACATGTCCAGTTCTGCGCATGCGTACAAACCTCACAATAATAATAAAAATCATATGTTTGATTATTTTTTATTTGTTTCCTGGTTTTCATTACTAAATTGTTGCTAAAAATACCAAGAAAAAACCAAAAAAGGTTACATATAAGGTAAGTTTACAAAAAAATGCGTATAATATATATTTATTGATTTTTCATATGGTTTTTTACACACATTTTTTCATAACTTGTATTATATATTTATATAGAACAATTTTAAAAAGACACGTTAATTTATTATTTATTTGAAAATAAACGGGTTTCAAATAAACTTTTTCATACAAAAGTACTAAATTATTATTATAGCTGTATTTTGCAATGTTTTGTTGCAAATAGGACACAGGGCAACATTTTTCCCTTTATTATTTTTGGGAATAAAACACAATTCCTCCCAGGAATTGTGTTTCGGCCTTCCACCTCTTTTGTTAATTTTTTTTTATTTTAAAAAAAGCAATATTGTACAACAATCACTGACACATGGCCTGGCACATGGAGATGTATAACCTATAAATGGGTCTGGCGGCAGCAGACAACCTGACCTGACCACGAACAGTTAGAACTTTGTTTGTGTGCTATTTCTTTAAAACATAAATTTTAAAAAAACTTTTCAATGTTAATTAATAAATTTTTAAATTGAAATTATGTTTAAAATTTATTTAATATACTATTAAAATCACATGTTTCTTGTCTAAAATTTAAAAATCCCGCGCGTCACGCAATGTATGTAAAATACATGACATACGTAGAAAACTAAAGATGTATAATACCACGTATTATACGTGTAGAAAACCAGGTATAATACATCATGTATAATACGTACCCATCCCTGGCGGGACGTCACAAAAACATAAAAAGAGAGTATTGTGGATATAGCAAAATATAAACTTTCAACAGTGTTTTTTATACAAATAAGAATAAGAAAAATTATGTATATATGTGTCTATACATATACATTTGAAAAATTGAAGTATAAGAGATAATTGAACGATTCATCAAGTGCCTTGTTGACTAATTACTTAGAATTGTCTGGATATTCTTAAGGAATATGAATATTGTTATTTGTTAACTCATAATAAGTTGACCTACGATTTGCGGTTATAATTATAATTGGTATAAAACCACGTCATGTTTAAAAAGAAAGAAGTGAAACGACGACCTAGACCCGCTGGCAGTCTTGCTCAGGTATATAGTTATACACTTTTTAGGTTATATTGTATTATTTCGTTTAACGAAGTGACTATTTGGCCCGTCGGCGGGCCATATAAGCTACTTTTTTTATTTGGCCCGCCTGCTTTTTTTTAATATTTCAAAGCGGGCCAAATAATAAAAGTAACTTATTTGGCCCGCCAGGTAAGAAAATAAAAGCGGGCCAAATAGAGAGTGGTATATTATTTGGCCCGTCACAAATAAAAATTGCTTTTTTTTTTATCTGATCTTCAGTTAATAATAAAATTAACTATAAAAGAAATAATAGTAAGTGCATTAACATATTTTTTGCTTTTTATATAGTGAATTAATTTTTTTTTTTGCTTTAAGAATGTAAATAATATTTTTTTTGTGTTATTAACCTTAAAACACTTATGCGTAAAAAAAGTGGTAAGCATCCCAAAAATTGTCTTTATTAGCGGGAATTTTAAATCAAAATTTTTCTCCTTGTTAGATCAAAATTATTTGTTCAATTTATATTCTTTTTTGAAATCGTATTAATTTGCAAAAATTGTAATAAGTAGTAGTTTGCACCCAGAAAAAAGGTTCTTTGAATCAATGAAATTTGTGCAATGTTATAGGGTCACAAAAAAAGTTTCTTTGATTTAATGAAATTATTTCTTTAACTGTTTTTTGTTAACTCAAAGAAATATTTCTTTGGATTTAACAAATCTTTTTTTAAGTCAAAGACATAAATAAATCAAAGAGATAATTCCTTTAAATGTTCTTGGCCATTTATTTGTCTTAAAGAAATTTTTCTTTGGATCAAAATTTCTTCTAAAAGTAGTTTGCTTTAAAAAGTTAATTAAAAAAAATAAATATTTTATTTAAAAAAATATATATAGTAAATACAAATATTATTGTAAAACAATAAATGATATTATAACATAATAAATATAATATTCAATGTTATGGTTTCGTGAAAACTGTTATTTGAAAAGAATTGTTATACTAATTATAATAAATATACGAAAAAAGTTTTTTGTTATTTCTCTGCGTTAACAAAAAACAGTTAAAGAAATAATTTCTTTAAATCAACGAAACTTTTTTGACCCTATAACAATGCACAAATTTCGTTGATTCAAAGAAACTTTTTTTGAAACAAAGAAGCTTTTTCTGGGTGTAAAACTTTTGATGCATTAAAATTTCTACATTATAAAATATAAAATTCTCTACATAATATTATAATAAAGCACATTGAAAATACTTAATACTTATTAGTCATATATAATTTAAAATATATTTTAAAAATTTCCAGAAGAATATTATTAAAATGTGTAAATTTTGATGGACAATCAATTAACACTATAAGAAAAAATATTTTATTATTACTTATTTTGAGCACTAACTAACTCTTAAGTTTCAAAATTTATTTTTATTTGAATTACTTATCATAAATTAATGATTATTTCAAGAATATAAAAGAAGGCGATTGGAAAGGTTTTCATTCATCTTGACTTTATGAAATGTATATTACAATTTTTGCAAATTAATATGATTTCAAAAAAGAATATAAATTGAACAAATAATTTTGATCTAACAAGGAGAAAAATTTTGATTTAAAATTCCCGCTAATAAAGACAATTTTTGGGATGCTTACCACTTTTTTTACGCATAAGTGTTTTAAGGTTAATAACACAAATTAAAATATTATTTGCATTCTTAAAGCAAAAAAAAAAAAAATTAATTCACAATATAAAAAGCAAAAAATATGTTAATGCACTTACTATTATTTCTTTTATAGTTAATTTTATTATTAACTGAAGATCAGATAAAAAAAAAAGCAATTTTTATTTGTGACGGGCCAAATAATATACCACTCTCTATTTGGCCCGCTTTTATTTTCTTACCTGGCGGGCCAAATAAGTTACTTTTATTATTTGGCCCGCTTTGAAATATTAAAAAAAAGCAGGCGGGCCAAATAAAAAAAGTAGCTTATATGGCCCGCCGACGGGCCAAATAGTCACTTCGTTATTTTAATTGTTGAGAAACATTACTGACAAACATTCAGCACATTTATATTTACTTTTTTTCAAATTTATTCGTTAATAATTGTACTACTGTCAAAGTTATAAACAATATTAATTTTTTTAAAAGGATTATATATATGTATAGCAAATTTATCACCACAGTGATAATAATTAACTATATTAATCTTCGTATTCTTTCATTCATTCTGTCCGCAATTTGAAGTTATTTTTTGAGTATATGCTTTTGTTTTTTTTTTTCTTTAAAAAATATTGTTTGACAAATCGACAATATGCAGATATTTTTTCATAATTTAGGTATAATAAAATAATGTTCGAAATTAGAAAATTTAAAAAAAATTATGATTAAAAAATGAAAAATATACCCATTTTGTTTATTAAGGGAAGTGTTCCGGTTGTGGGCACCCTTTTGTTTTTGCCTCATAACATTTGTCCATGTGCATATTATACAAATATATGTGTACGAATTTAAAGCTAGAGGTCTAAGGTGACTGTCAGTGAAGGAATTAAATTGATTCCTTTAAATAAAAAAGTTTTATTAGAAATTTAGTGAAATGGGAATTTTTTGACAAAAAAAATTTTGTACCCGGTTGTGGGCACCCTTGAAAAATCCGCTAAAAATGGATAAATATTAAAGGAAACCAACACAAATAAAGAAGAAATGAAAGTTTCTTTATTTTAAGAGAATTTGCCGGGATAAAGAACAAAAATGATGACACGTTTTCACACTATGCTCATCGCTAACAAAAGCATAATGCTTGCATGTGAAGTAGCTAGTACGCATACCATAACGCACTGAACGACTATATTCATCGCATTTAATGGAGTTTGCGGCTGTCACTTTCCTTGGCAGAAAGTTTAGATAGATGAGACAGTAGTCCTCATCATTGTCAGATGGTAGAGCCTCCTTAACATAAAGGTGCCCACAACCGGGAATGACAGTCATTTTTTAAAAAGACCAACACATTTTGTGATGCAGGATTGTGGTTAAACACGAAGGTAAATCACAAAATATAATGGCAACACTGCAAAAACAAAATTAAACCCTTCTTTTCTGAACGAATCTACACCCATATGTTGCTCTTCGGAAACAATACAAAATTACTTTTTTATTTATTTAATGCAAATTTTCTTTATTATGCTCACAGCTATTACACAAATGCATATATTTGTTTCGTTATCAATACGAAAAGTCCGTATTGTCAACGAACACGACTTGCAATACTTAGATCAGTAAAGTCTGCTTGCCGTCGAAGTTTACGTAGGGGTGCCCACAACCGGCGCACTTCCCCTATATGCTATTTCTATAACAAATTTCGTTTGACTGATCAAAATTATGCAAATTTTTCTTCTTTCGCTTCCTCATAGAGGAAGGATTGTATTAGCAAAATTTTCGATTGTGATTTTTTGACATATTTATAAACTTTTTTTCATTATACCTAATCTTCTAGTACTTTATGCACAAATGGGCATTGCCCGTATAAATGTTATAAATAAAAAAAAAATTTTATGTAATTTTATCTCAGAAGTCCAAAAAACGGATTTTAAAAAAATGTCCCGATGTGTGTGTGTGTGTGTGTATGTGTACTAACATTACATTTGCCTCAATATCTCAGAACGAGAAAGAGCTAAAGGCCGCAATTTTTTTTCAATTGCAGGTCTCCCCGGGGGACATAAAATGAGAGTATTTTCAGCCCGATTCATAAAGTTTAATTATATTTTTTTTGCATTTTTCATTTTGTAAAAAAAAGTTTTTTGGCCATAACTTAAAAAAATGTTAGAACATCTATAAATGTTTTTCTTTAGTTTTGTAGAGTTTTTTCAGACGCTTCTTTTGAGCCTTCATTGAACATTTTTCGTCCATATTAGCCACAGATATTAAGGTTTTAAAAATATAAATTTTTCGAAAATAACACTTTTTTAAAAATTTTGTTGAAAAATATAAAAGTAACTTTAAAAGTATCATTACCAACTTGTAGAGCATTAAAAAACGCTTCGATTTACCTATTTTTGAACCTAATTCGGTCAAAAATTATCAAATTATTGGTATTTGAAAAATAAAAAATTAGGGAAAATATCATTTTCTCAACATTCTTGTTTATTAACTTATGTGTAATTATTAAACTATTATAACCATCTTATAGAATATATAAAAACATATTTTTTGGATCAAGATTTTATCAGGGTTCCTACAGAATCTGGAAATCATGTAAATGGTATGGAATTTTTAAAAGGCTTCTGGAAATCATGGAAAAGGCCTGGAATTTTTAAAGGGTCTAAATTTTTCCATTTTTTCTCTTCAATAGAAATTCAATTAGAAATTTTAAGTTATAATATATATTATACAACGTGGAAATTAAATTTAAAATTCCACTGGAATTTCCTAAAAATTTGACCTGCACGGAGAAAATTTTATTTGTAGCGGTTACAAAACTTTTCTGTACTGCTCGGACGAAACGACCATTTTAGACCACTTTTGTTACAGCTACAGAACAGTTCTACTACTTTTCAAAATAGATCTGCTTAAATTACAGAACGCATCTGTAACATGTCACGAAGCCTACTGTTCTTTGCTTCCGAATTTAAGTTCCGTTCTTAGTAAGGTTCGAATGGTAAGCGATTACAGAACTGACTTGTAGCGTTGTTAAATGTGGTACCTTAGTGGTGTGTTTACGTGTGCATATAAATAATTCAAATGAACATAAATTATTAATATTTAATTTATTTAAATTATTAATTTTTTATTGATAATAACTAATTAATTTCAAAGATATAGATTTAAATGTTAAAATACTGTGAAATAAAAGAAATTAAAACTTTAATAATTACAAATAAATAGAAATTTTTTCGAAATATATAATAACACAGGTTTACAAATTAAAAACTTTTTTTTTGCCAATCGAACAAAACATTTTTTTTTCGAATAGTAGGTGTTTGTTGAGTAAGAAAATCATAGTTTTAATTTTTTTCCCTCGTGAAGTTTTTCTG